GAGCTGTATATGGACGAAGGTTAAGCGTCTTAACACCTGATAGCTTGTAGCTATCTAAGTCTGAGAATATCGACATGTACATTTAGTAATGGTATTATACTAATTAATGTAACTCGTAAAGCATGAATTCTCACTCGTTAATATTGGAATTCACTGTAGAAACCTATTTAAGCGCGTGTGTTTGTAGAATAAAGTAAGTAATTGCTCAAGAAACGGCAAGACTCATATCGTGAAGAATAGTGTAATAATTAGTCAGTTGTCTGTGGAGATCAGCCGAGAAATCGAGTTCTCAAATACTTCTCTCATAGAAACTGAAAGTACTGGGAGAAATAGCCCAAGTTTTAAGTAACTACACTAGAGTTCTTTGCTTTCCTTTGCCACAAGTGAGGGTTGTGACAACCACATCAAATAATAAATACTGTTTTTTCAACTATTTGCAAGCAAAGATAATTTTTAACTTATATCGCTTAAATTCCACAAATAAAGAATCTGCCTACAGAATACACATACTGTTATTAATTATAGTGTTTTAATGCAATATAGCTTTAAATAGAATAGCAAAGGTTGAACTCGATACTATACACATACCATGTGATTAAATAACTACTGGTATTTATATCGTCCTTATATCTTGCACTTTTCCTATTTACTGAAATGATATACTGTTGTTTCCACCTTCGAAGCCTAACTTGTTACTACATGAGTGGTAACGAATTACAATCGTTAAAAGAGATGCTCGAATACAATTCCAAACATTTGTCCCCGACAGTTGTTGTCAAGATCATTCTAGATATTGCAATAGCAATCAAGTCCTTGCATTCAAATATGATAGTCCACGGCAACATTGGGACTCATGCCATTCTCCTTATTACATCTCACAAGGTAACCGAATGCATGATACATCGTCGAGCAATAGATACTCTTATCTTATGGAAAATCATTGTTATAAATGAAAAGTTTAAATTAGTACTTTTCTAATAATTATTTAATTAATTAAAAACGTATTCAACAATCTAAATAGGAGCAGCAGGCAACAGCACTATTAAGCGAATTTTCGCATATGCACAGATTACAATTATTCACGGGCAGTAAACAGAATGAAACAATCTCACAGTTAATGTGTAAGGACATTAATGGGTTGGTCTCCTTGACTGAAGCTCTTTCTCTGTACTGCCAAATCGATAAAAATCGGCCATTGAATGATAGTGAAGTAGCATCGCAAGGCGATGTTAATTACGACGACTGGGAGTTAGCTCTAGAATCGGTAAGATACTATGAAGCATCATTCGAGCTGCCATTCATGAACAGTTACAAATCAAATTAATGGTATTCCATTTATAACATTTTAAACTATTTGAACTTATCTCCTAGAATTGCGAAAACTAAAATATAACATATCAGAAGGGTATTTTACTGTTTCATTGCGTTAAAATGAATTTTTAATGTTTTGGTTACTGTTCTGCTTAACTTCGAGTCTAAGTCAAATGTTAAAATACTTAGCTTGATCTAGGATTAGTACCTAATTTAGCCTTAAGCTATATTTGTGAGTAATATTTTAGTTTTGAATTTTGAGGCGATCTAGCAATTAAGTCTGACATCCTGTGAATCTTTATCTAGCTGCAGCATATCANATCGGTAATTTACGAAAGCCAAAACCATAGGAATATTAAGAACGTCAAGAAATCATAATCTCAACTATTGAGCAAC